CAGGACATCACACAAGCGATAAACACCAGATGACAAAAAGTGCCATCATAAGGATGAGGATCGCCGTGGAGAGGTCCCAGAAACCGCGTTCAGACAATTGGCCACATTTATGGCCTGCCTATATTGCGGCCCCTGGCAACAGCCAGGGTGGGGCTTCAAATAACAAAAAATTTCGTCCTAAAAAGGACGAAACACCTATTGCTAGATGGGGTTTAAGCGCAGCTTAAGCAATTGACTGACTGACTGACTTTCTACCCCACCAGGACATCACACAAGCAATAAACACCCGATGTCACAATGTGCCACCATGTGGGTGAGGATCACCGTGGAGAGGTCCCAGAAATCGCGTTCAGCCTTTAGGCCATATTTATGGCCAGGCTATATTGCGGCCCCCGGCAAAAGCCAGAGTAGGTCTTCAAATAACAATAAATGTCATCCTAAAAAGGACGACAGGTGTACTAACTAAAGCAACTGACTGACTTTCTACCCCACTAGGCCATCACACAAGCGATAAACACCCGATGACTCAAAGTGCCACCATGTGGATGAGGATCGCCGTGGAGAGGTCCCAGAAATCGCGTTCAGACAATTGGCAATATTTATGGCCTGCCTATATTGCGGCCCCTGGCAAAAGTCAGGGTGGGTCTTTAAATAACTACTTAAGCCTTAAGCAACAGCACCTTTAAAAATATAAATCAGCGTTTGGAGGCAGAAAATGTGGGTCACAAATTAAAAAATAAAAGTTGCATATTTTAATTAAAAAAATACACATTAACAATCTTAAGATTGTAATGTGTGATGCTCATTTTAACAATGAAATATGACATCGGTGGTCCAGAAAGCTCACATACATATTGTAAAAAATTATTCGTAATGCAAGCAGATCTTGCTAGTCCATGCATTTTATGTGTAAGACCCGATGCTTTCCCTACCATGCTCAATAGAATACTTTTGCTTTCCATTTACCTCAGTGAGGTTTCGGGGGGAGATGTAAGGGATCATGTTGTGCGCTTTTTTCCAATGCCGCCAAAGTTGGTGTTCATTTCTGTTAGGATAGACACTGATATGTTGCTTCATCACCCTGCATGGTTACCCCTTGCTAATATGTTCAGTCTACATTTCTGTCAGTGGCTCTTTAAGCAGTTGTGACTTTTCTCGCCTAGGCTGGACCAAACCATCTCATTTGTTGTTCTTTAAAACCCACTGTATGACAAAGTTTCGGTCCATCTGGATACAAACACATGGTAAACAAGTATGTAAAAGACCAAAGAGACATCTATATGAGTAATGAGGACTTCAGAAAAGCATTTCCCGTAGGGCGTAAGTAATAAAGACATAAAAGCGTTCTGTTTATGTTAAGACATAAATATGTTTTCTAACCCTTTTACCCCACCAGGGTGACACAAGCGAAAAAACCCGATGACACAAGTTCCAGATGAGGATCACCTAGAGGTCCCAGAAACCGCGTTCAGAAAAAACATTTTACTTATGTGTTACTCAAGAAAAGCGTGCAAAGTCAGTTTATCATTCAAAAACCAAATACTTACTAATACAGAGTAAGGGATGTAATCAATACAAAAATAATGCAGCATAGATTTAGGTGGCTTACATCCCTTGCAGCCTGTAAACTGCAGTGTAACACTTGACCCCAAGACCAGGTTACCACTGTAGTCTAAGAATAAAGGTTAGTTTGTGTATCTTTTACAGGACGTTGCAGAACCAACCACAAAGGCTTGTGTGGTTTTTCTAGGCAAAATTACGTCCAGTAGTTTGCCATTGCTTTCTGGACGTTCGGCTTTCTTGATACCACTGTTAAAACCAACAGCGTATGGCCCGCAGCTGGGATCGAACCCGGCATTACGAAGCGTTTGCATCGACTTAGCCCCAGAGCCGACAACAGGAAGAATACGACCTCAAAATTTCTTACAAAAAAAGCCATTTTTTGGTTGTTGTTGTCTGAAGGAGATCATCATATCTGCTATTTTTTTTTTTTAATTGAATTTAGTCATTTCCTGTTATGCTAAAGTTTGCACAGGTCAACTGCCACAAATAACAGTCGTCCCCAAGTGGGATGAAATCTTGTGTGTGTTATTTTGAAGCCCCACCTTGGCTTTTGCTGAGGAAGGGGGTGGGCCTAAATTTAGCCATGCCTTAAATATGGCCTGATGGCAGAACAGGGTTTCTGAGACCTCTCCACAGGTGATCCTAATCCTCATGGAGGCATTTTGTGGGATATCCTGGTAAGGTACAATTTACCTATCTCCCAACAGACCAAGTGCCAATTACTGCCATTTTTAAATACCACTTTTGCGGTGTAGGCGTGAAGAGGGCGTAGGGGAAGTCACTGAGCAAGAGAAGGCTGGGCGGCATGGCTAGTGCTGTCCCCTGTCCCCATGGACTATGCAAGAAAGAATTTTTTTAAAATTTTTATACGCAGGCACAAATGGAATAAGTTCGAATCAATGTTTCCGCATTGTGAATTTGAACAAAGACACAAACAATAGATTGCACAATTTATTTACTTGCTTCATGTTAATCAATTGTTACTGTCGTATGCATTGACAAAACACAGCGAAATATGGCAGGCAATAAATCTGAATAATTTCTGTTAGCTATTTGTCTTCAAACATGCCCCTATAACGAGTGGGAAAAGTGGCCCATACCAGGAAATGACATCAACCAGAAGTGTCAGTTTTGTGGTTTCTCAAGGTGAAAGAGTTATAATAGTTTTCTTCTTCTTCTTCACCAGCTGTAAACGCTGACAGAAAGTTCAAGTTGTTTGTCTACCTCTGGACTTTGATGGTGATCCAGAATTTGAATTTTAAAAATATATCTTATTTGAAGATTGATATATGCTGCATACTCCAGACAATGTGTTGCATAGTTGAAGACATAGTGTCATGCATTTTAAGACAGAAATGACATACAGAATCGTCTTGCAGATGCAAGATGCAGATACATCTTCTTCTTCTTCTTTGCGTTTGGTTTCGTATGCTCAGATCAGACCATTAGGTGGGTTGCCTCTATGAACTCACATGTCAGTAGCAGGTCATACATGATTCCCCTCAGCTTGCTCTGCACACTTTGCTCTTGAGGCCAGGTGTCTTTCGAAATCCTGGTCCACCAATGCCCAAAGCTACCATCAGTAGTTTGGGGTGGATTCCTTCAAGGCTCGGAATCTGGTGCTGTTACCGCCTGTCCACAGGAGTAGCCCCATAACAGGGTAGGTATCTAAACATACTCAATAACTATAGATTGCGTCAATGCCTGTTACCATTTCTGGGTGCCCATGCCATTCAGGCCGACATGACCATCTTCAGTGGGGAGATGTAGATACAGCTTGGACATTTCAGATATCAGTTTCCATAATCACTGAGCTGGAGCCTATTACTAGTAAAGTACCTAAAACCCAAGGGGGGAAACATTATCAACCAAAACCTAACCCCAGCCTCACCCTTTGCGCCATCATCTCTTATTACATAGTAAGGAGATAATAAAGAGTCTGCATAAAGAATCTCTCTCTCTCTCTTCTAAATTGAATGTATTATTAACATTTCATTTAGCATGTCTTAATAATATTTAACTGTTGTTGATGATGTTTATATTATGCAACCTATCAGACATTTTTGGATTAAGTTTTTTACTATACTTTTTTTAAAACATTCAGTAATGTATGTATAATTAGAACCCATTCCAGCATTTATAATTAAGGATTAAATGTTGTGAACATTTTTAAAAAATTGTTATTAACTATAAAATGATATAATAGGAATATGCAAGGAAAGTGTATGCAAGGATTGGTCTGGAAGGGCAGAAGATCAGACAGGTCTGCATGCCCAGTTCTGAACACTTTGAAAATTAGGTTTGTTAGTTTGTTCCACCTATCTCTCTCTCTCTCTTTCTCTCTCTCTCTCACTCACATTTGTGTATAGTCTCAAAGCTAATGCAGCCATTTTTTTAAAGAAAGTAGCAGGAAAAATAAAACATACAGATGCCAAAAATAATTAAACTTACAGGGATATCTAAAGCTGAAATAGCAAGTACACGTAACAGTGAAAATACTAACATATGAAAGTCACTTGAAAAACAAAATAGAAAATATGTTACCTAACAGCCTAATTTAACAAAACTGCACATTACATTTAAAGCCATAATATTGTGACTGCCAGATTTCTGATTCTGCATTCTGGATAAAAATATTATATATGGGAGTTGAGGTGGCAAAGATACACCTACTGGCCTGAAGGTCTTTAGTTCCAATCCACATCAAAGAAAGTTTAAATCCACATCAAGGAAGTTTCCTCCCCCCCCTCCCCCCCAAGACCCTGGCTTCCTGGTCAACCCACCCTAAACTGGATACCAAGTGACAATGCCTAGTAAGTAAAGCAGCCAGTATGATGTTGACTACAAAAACCCCTCTCCCAAACGCTGGCTAATCTATAAACATATGAGTCTAGCACCACATTCTTGGTGTGCCACTAGCACAAAAAGGCACCTTTACTTACTACTTTCTTACATACAAATTTACATGAGGATGAGCTTAACAATAACTTTAACAGATTTATAGAAATGAATTTTGTGTAAGTGAATAGCAGATGTGAGAAATTACTAGGTAAGAAGAGAAGCAGAGAAATACCGATAGAGGAATGCTGACAATTTCATTAGGTGAGTCACAAAAAAATAATATAACATCAACTTCATGAGAACATCAACTCTTAGAGAGGACCGGAAAGTCACGATCCAGACCAGGCACCTGAGGAGGGGAGAAAACAATTGCATTATGAGCAAAAATCACACTTTTTTATAAAAGAAAAAACAAAAGTCAAACTAATTAAACCCTATACATAATTAATACATTTTCTGCCATGAACATAAATATAGATAACATCATCACAGGGCCCAGTTATGGGAGAAATTAAACATAACTTATGGGTACCAAAGTTATTATTGCTAACACTGCACTCATAGACCCCAGAAAGGAAGTAATTTACCTGTTAGGTTTACTGAATTATCAGCTTGTGTTCCCGACTTGGTGGAATGTGTATGCAGCCCAGGTCATACTTCTTCAAAACAACCCTTTCAACTTCTATCTCAACATCTGCACAGCCAGAAAACTGCTTGGCCTTGTAGTCTAGGTTGTAGAACCTGATGCACAGGCTGGCTACCTGATGGATGTAAGGGATTGCAGCACAAACTGGAGGCGGGTTTTTCACTGCAAATACAAACAATTACAACATTCATTAGTGTATTTTATTTGTTGCTAAAGAACAGGGCTATTCAACTAAGTTTCCTCGGGGTCAAAGTTCTGACAACTGAGATCTTCACAGCCCTGAAGCCTGAACCTAAGCGTAGACAGACCAATAATACAATACAATTGCAAATGATCTGCAGACCACTTACTAGGCCTCCCGCAGTTGAATAACCATGCTACAGAAGATTCCAGGATATGAAAATGCAACCTGAATACTTAAATATTATTGCAGAGCAGACAAGGCCAGCACTGGTTGGCAGCTGGTCTAGAAGGGAAGCTCCAACAGGCAGACAGAGTAAGGTTAGACACTCGCTTGCTGGCAGGGAGATCTAGGGTCTGAATCTGCATTTGACAAGGGCCAGCCCTGGTTGGCAGCTGGTCTAGGATGGAAAAGCTCCGGGTGGGGGGGGGGGGGGGGGGCGGGGGTTAAACTCACTTGCTGGCAGGGAGATCTAGGGTCTGAATCTGCATTTGGGCAGACTTTTATAAACAACCTAGAGCTTTGAGATCAGTTCAGCTGAAAATGGAAACTAGGAAAGGTCTGGAAAGTAAAGGTGGCTGAAAAGATGCTTACCGATCAGTCTACAAAAGCATAGACGTAGCAACATATGCATAAAGCCACGAGGGTTTTTCCTTCACTTGGGCAGCTTGCATTGCTTTGTTATTCATTAATTGGTGTCCTTTGATTTTCATACTTTTTTGCACTTTAGAAAGTACTTCTTCTTCTTATCTTCCATCGTTTCTATAAGCGAGATGTTGGGGGGAAGATCTAAGGATCATTTGTGTGCTTTTTCCAATGCATTTGACAAGTTTTTTATAAGTACTGCTGTACATTATTTTTAATGTGACAAGCAATTTTATTTTCTTCTGTTGCTGGCACTTTCTCATCTTCCTAGACAGTAATGTTATACTGCGTTAGGGGGAGGTATGAGTTGCTATGGTGCAGTGGCTAGATGCTCGCCTGCAGATTGAAATGTAGTTGGTTTGGTTCTTGATGGAACCAGGCTTTCTTCAAAAATAACCTTGGCTCCCAGGTTGTTGTTGTTGTTGTTATCGATCCAGCGGCGCATGAGCTTTCGCCCTTTGGCCCAATGCCATGTAATGGAATTTGCATGTTTTCACAAGCTGTTCTTTTCCTCCGTACAAGGTGTTGCACTTGTCTGGTCTCGGAGGGAGTGGCTCCCAGGTCAACCCAGCCTTGAGTGGGTACCAGCTGAAGTCCTAGGAAGTAAAGGTGGCCAGTGTGATGTTGACCACATGACCACCAAGTGCAGACTGATCTATAAAATATAGGTTTAGCCCTATATGCCCATTAGGTCTTAAGGTGCGGAAAAGGGCCCTTTACTTTACTCATAGAGAGGCATGTTATTCACAGCCCATGGTGGCGGTGAGTGCGACTAGCAAAACCCACAGCACAAAGCCATGGCGGTGTGTGTTGCCCATGCAGCATGATCAATCTCTTTGCCTACCTTGTTTACTAGAAAGGAAAGGGAACACTAGTACATTTACAATAAAGCATGTTGCAGAAAAACACCTGCTGCAGATACTCTACAGCCAGAGTCACTAAATATGGAGTTGTTGCCATCATCCAGGTCCCCAATTTACAAGTGCAGAGACTTGGACAATCAACAAGCAACTAACAAATCGAAGTGAATCTTTTACAGAAGAACAGGTCATATTTCATAGAAAAAACAACAAAAAAAAACAGCCCAATACAGAGTTTCTGGAAAGGCTACAAATGAAAAATGATATACTGAAAGAAATAAAAAAGAGATTATTGAAATGCTTTAGCCACACTAAAAACACACTTTCAAAAACCATATTGGAGGAAAAGGTTGAAGGCAAGACAGCAACAATACAAGTGGAAGGACACCATCAAGAGATGGACAGGCAGCAGTCTGAGAGAGTGTACAAACAGAACAAGAGACAGAGTGGGTTTGGAGATCTATTGCAGCCAACCTTCACTGTGGAGAGGGCACCAGAATGACTGACCCATGGAACAAAAGTTATTCAATGGAGGAACAATAAGTTATCTTTAAAATAGTATCACCGTAGCCAGATTTGTTGTCAACTTCAAGCCACATCTTTAAAATATGGACAACTGTTTTCCTAAAATGGCTGATCTCAGAAATAAACATCAACAACTGATAGGTAAAATAATTTGACCAATTCCACAGTTACATTTATAAGCGTCTCCTATCTTTAGTTAATCAAATCAGTGGTATTTCAGATAAAGTCTGTATGGAGTCTGAAACTTGTTTACTCTGGAGTGGTTAGCCATCACCATTATTAGTATACAAGAGGATAAAGTAAAGGACCCTTTTCATACCAGGGGCAAATTGGGCATCTGATGCTAGACTTGCATGTTTACAGATCAATCTGCATTTAATGAATGATGTGGTCAACACTGTACTATCACCTTTACTTCCCCAAACTTTTCACATGATCCCCTGTTAGGCTCGGCTGACGTGGGAGCCTAAGATCCCTTTTTTAAAATGATGATGCAGAATTAAACTCAAGACCTTCGGGCCAGCAGGTGAGAGTCTAGTCGCTTACACTACTATAGTTCCCAATTTAAGATGGTAGCACAAACATAAACTCTTATCACTGTGCTGGAAAATTACACCATTTCAAATCTGCAGGCCAAGACTAAGCACTTGTGGGCTTGTCCAAAGAGACGGTATTTATTCAACAACCTTTTAATGTAGGTAGGAAACTTAAGGACATCATATCAAAACATTCTTACCTGAAATTTTTTCATCAATAATGGCCAATCCATTCAATGTAAATAAGAACTCAAACCCATACTCATCTGGAAGGTAGCTGATATTCAGACAACCTAGGATGCAGACATTCATGATAATATCAGTTAACAGACATACATTAATAATAGTACTATCATCATCAATCAGCAAGTCCTTCACATAATGTCACTTTCTTCATGGCACGCCTGAAAGTATCCCTTTCCCGAGCCAGCTCTCCAGCCCATGTGCTTTTAATGCCAATACATCTACAATGGCCTGCATCCATCTTCGCGGTGGTCGACCCCTGCCTCGCTTTCGACAAACTGTACCCTCCATCACCGTCTTTTCCAAGCCACCATGACGTTTGATGTGGCCAAAATACTTCAACTTCTGGGACAGCATGCTATTTATGAGCCAGTTTTCCTTGATGTTCAACTCGTGTAAAATGTTGATGTTTTTTTTTTCCTCTTCTTGATCCATTGTATTCTGAGAATCTTTCTGTAACATTTTAATTTAAAAGCTATATAATCTTTTTAACAGCACTATAAAAGAAGAAAATTAAAGGTATCCATAAGATGAAACAAATTACCTAAAAAAGGTGATTTATCCGATTGTAACAACTGGAGAGGCATCACCCTGCTTTCGATACCAGGGAAACTATTTTGTAGTATGCTACTAGAAAGATTGAAAAAATCCATAGATGAAAGATTAAGGGAAGAACAAGCCGGTTTTAGATCCAAGCGGTCATGCATAGACCACATCTTTACTCTTAGAATAATTGTTGAAGATTCTACAGAATTCCAGTCGAAATTATTGATCAACTTTGTCGACTTTCAAAAAGCCTTCGACAGTATCCATCGTCCAACACTCTGGAAATTGCTTAACATCTATGGTTTCCCCATCAAATATATCAACATCATAAAATTTTTTTATAATGAAACACGATGCTGTGTAAGAACTGATTCCGGCAATTCTGACTGGTTCCCGGTGGAAACAGGAGTGAAGCAAGGCTGTGCCCTATCGCCGATGCTTTTTGGTATAGCAATCGACTGGGTCATGCGCAAGTACATAAATAACGCAAATTTAGGCATTACATGGGTTGACAAAATTCTGGAAGACCTAGACTTCGCCGACGACATAGCACTCCTGAGTTCAGAACACACAGACGCCCAAGAAAAAATCAATCGACTCCAGAATTTCTCAGAACAAATTGGACTCCAAATTAACACCGCAAAAACAAAAATTCTAGACCTTACCAACAGTTCAGTTGATATCACGCTGAACAAACAACAGCCTTGAAAAAGTCAACAGTTTCACTTATCTAGGGAGCAAGATGTCATCTACAGGAGATACCGCACCAGAAATATCATTTAGAATAGCACTGGCATCTAGTGCCTTCAATAAACTGTCTAACATCTGGAAATCAAAGACACTTAGCAAAACACACAAAACTCAAGATCTTCAATTCTTGTGTGATTTCCAGTACTAACCTATGGATGCGAGAGCTGGAAATCAACGAAAACTCTAGACACAAAATTAGATAGTTTTAAAAATAAAATGCCTTAGAAGAATACTAAATTTCAAATGGTCAGATTTCCGAACCAATACACAAATAAGGCAAGAATCCAGGCAAGAGTATGTGTCTAATTTTATACGAAAACGCCGCTGGAACTATGTCGGCCACGCCCTTAGAATGGATAAATCAAGACTTCCTTACCAAGCCCTCATTTGGACACCACAGGGGAAAAGATCTCGTGGAAGACCAAGGGAAACCCTACGTAGAACTATCATCAGGGAAGGCTCGCTCATGGGCCACTCAAACATCCAAGACCTACAACGGATTGCAACGGACCGCCGTGCATGGAGAGTCACGACCTCTGCCCTATGTGCCGCACTCGACACAAGAGGAAAGACTAACTAACTAACTAATAAGATGAAAGTAGTCCTTTAACCACATCTGGATTTCAACAACAACAACAAAATTTGGATGATAAGTGATTTAAACTTTCCAATATAAGCCATTGGTTCATATCAACCTGGTTTTGTACCCGGTGTTCAAAATAAGAAAGGAATATTAAACTTTTTGTTTCTGTGATTGCCTTTTTTGAAGGGCGGCTGGTATACTGTTTGTGGTTACAGTTAAACTGTGATATCTCCACTTTGCAGATCAACAAACACATCAGATTTATGATTGCATGTGAAAGGATTTTGGATCCATTCTCCACCCTCCCTAGAAAGGCCCTAGAGATATGGAAATACAGACAAATATGTTAAATTCCAGTAAAAATTTTTCTTTTTCTTCTTTTTCTTCAGGTTCACCAACTGTAAACTCTGGCAAAGAGTTCTGATTGTTTCTTCACTCCAGTCTTGGTCTTGTTCCAGAATTGAGACTGTGTGCACATCTGTTTGGCAGATCTGGCTGGTCTGTATGCAGACTGTTGGTTCCCCCATCTCTCAGGCAGATGCACTTCAACTCTGAAGGAAACACCACTAATTAGTCACCTCCTATGACATGCTTTTTATGGGAGCAGTAGATCTACTCTTTCTTTCTTTAAAATGGGGTCCCGGAACCCACAAATGAGTAAAATGTCAGAGAAATAAAAATAATCAAACACTGAAGCAACAAAGAGGCTGGAGATGATAACAGACCTGATGTAAAAATAAGATAAATTAAATATTTCAGCAATAATAACAGACATGTTACTTTTGGAAAAACCAGTGAGGGAAACCATTCTATGAGAAGAAAGAAGCTGGAACATATTGTGACAACTAGAAAGATTCACAGAAAGAAAGACAGAGAAAGACAGTATAATATTTTCTTCATATCGGCGTGCAAGTTTGGAGATCCATTGCCATCAACCATTATCTCTCAGTGAATGAGTCAGAAGAGAGTGCTGTTGAAGTTATATCATAATGTCATCTTGTGCTTCCTGTTCTCCTCAGCTAACTTCACATTAGTATAGATCTATACTCCAAGTGCCTTGTCTGCCTGCATTGTGTGTGTGTGTGTGTGTGTGTGTGTGTGTGTGTGTCTGTGTCTGTATCTGTCTGTCTGTCTCTCTCTCTCTGTGTGTATGTGCGCGTGTGCTTGTACATGTGTGTTTTTAAAATCCTCTTATTCTCTTCTTGCATTTTCCTCCAGTATTTTTAATAGTTGACCAACAAAACTAATTTGCATCTTAGATTTCTCGAATAAAAACATACCTGTTTCATTGAGAGAAATTTTCTCCACAACAACCTGCAAGCAGCACCCACAAGTGTAGTTGACACAGGCACAGGTAGAATTGGAATTGACTTCTGAAACAGAAATACATTTACAGCTAACCGAAAATTATAACATTATAAATCCTTCAATATGAAAGAAGAAATATGATGTCTAATGCTTCATTTAATCAATTACTATGGGGCTGCGTCGTCTTGAGGCATGGTGTCCACCTCAAGTGCTAGAAGTTCTCGGTTCAATCCCAGGTAAGAGCTGGGTTTTTTTTACATGGTCTTGGACTTTTAGTAATTCCCCATGGTCTCTGGATAGTGTGATCGGATGCTCGTGTGCATTGTTGCACACACAAAAATCCCTTGGCAGTTGGAAATTGAAAAAAGTAGCCTAGTGGCACATCATCCACCAAGTGCTGATTGGTCTATAAAATACAGATCTAGCCCTATATGCCTAAAGTGCCTGAAGGCACGAAAAAGCATCTTTTCATGAGCATAATGACTAGATTAGAAGCTAATCAAGTAATGGAGCAACTATCTTCCCTGTTGACACACAAACAGATACCTCGGAGTACTAAAGTTAATCTTATCAGAACTCTTTTTTGGCCAACACTATGCTATCAATGCCAAACGTGGACACTTACATCCTTCAATGAACGTAAAATTGTGACAACAGACAAGAGCTGCAGGAGTTTCAAGGAAAGACAGAATACAAAATCATGAAATCAGATGAATGCTAGCAATAAAGCCAGTCTTACAGGTCATCAATGAACAACAAATAAAGTGGTTTGGACACTTAACAAGAATGCCCTTGTACTATCTACCACAGCGAGCTACACTAAAACGTTACAACGGGTATAGAGGGAGTGGAAGACCTCGGAAAATATGGAGTGATGGCATTAAGAACAGCCTTACAGAAATAAACATCAGTCTTAATAGTGCTCTTGACAGAGCTCATCAACGAACATTACATCTCCCTTCGACATTTCAATGAGGTACAAGGTGGAAGAGAAGAAGAAGGACTAGATTAATGAAAGTTGATCTCTATATACAACGATAAGAAAGAGACAAACACTGTTCTTTGGCCACATTATGAGAAGAGAGACACTGGAGAACATTGTGACAACTGGAAAGATCAGTGGAAAAAGGGGTAAAGACAGACCAAGAGTTGGTGCTGGATGGGCTGAAACGATGGCATGGAGGTATATCATCAAGAGGGTTGTTCCAGGCAACCAGGGATCATGATCTGTGGAGACGCATAAGCGCTTACACCAGTTGGCAGGGTACATAATGATGATGAATGACTAGATGTTTACCTGCAGGCCTGAAAGTCTTGGATTTAATTCTACATTGTGTAGGATTTTTTTTTTTTCAAAATTAACCTTTGCTTTCAGGTTAACCAATCCTAAAAGAGGGATCAGGTACTGTTCTAGGAAGTAAAGGCGACTGACATGATGTTGGCCACATCACCCACCAAGTGCTGAATAGTTAAAAAAAAAAAAAGTATGTAGCAACCATCATAGACCCGATGCCTCACCAGTGTAAAAAGGAGTCCTTTACTTGAATTACCTATATACTGCAATGGGCTCTTACTGTACAATGAAGTAAGTTATCTTCTGTGTCCAGCTTTAAAAAGCATTTGAAGTCATGGTTCCTAATTTCACACTACACCGCGTTCTCAACTTTTGATCACACACAAAAATAAATAAATGAAAATAGTAAAGAAAAAAAGATAACTATAGTAATAGGGTCAAAAGGTTAACAGAACTGATGCAACAGAGTAAATATCTTATCTTAGTCAAATTTTCTACAATAATTGTATATACAAAATCTAAATTTTGTGTTTTATGTACAATCTGTATAACCTGTTTGGGCTAAAGTATCGTTAATCTCCCCATATTGTGTAAGTCACTTCTCATTCACAAGCTTGTTGGGCTGGTCGACTTTCCTGAAAGTTACTGGTGTGTCCAGCTCTGTTGTTTACTTCCTGTTTTGTCTTGCATTTACGTTTTCATTACGAGAAAGAGAATGCCTGTGACATAGATTAGAACAACACAGGTTGCAGCACTCTCTAGAGGGGTTTGTGTTAGACCCAGTTTCTCCATGTTTTTGGGGTGTTAAAAGTGCTGGCGTGCTGAAATATACAACACGCGATATCAACGGCAATGCGGAAACACCCCCGTAACCTTGTGCCAAGGTGACAGGTTGAGGAACTACCAATCAGAAGTGAGCTAGTGTGTATATGGGCAGGGTGTGGGGAGATTAACATTATGTGTACCCCTGTTTGAATGAAAATATTGTTCAAAGGTATAACAAATTCAGCCTATGATTATTAGTTCGACTTACAACCTGTTGGTCAGAACACAACTCAGTTCTAACTCGAGGCGACCCTGTGTAATCAAAATCTCTATTCAAGCCTGTGCTCCCTTCTCACAATGCTAAATAGTCAAGTCATTAAGAATTTCCATTTTTGTCTTTTCAATATTCTCTTACTGTCAACTACATCAACTGCATTTAAGTGTATTTTTTCTAACATGACCAAAACTGGTACAAATCTGCTTTCATTTGTTGGCACCTTTCTGTCTTTCCAGATGACAGTGTTATACTTTGCTATGGGGAGGCAAGGAAATCATAGCCCATAGCCATGGCAAATGTGACAAACCAGCTTGTGCTAAAAAAAGTCTTCCACAATTTGAGCAAGTGATTTCAGGATCACTATAGCCATTACATGTATTAAATGTGCTTCTTTTCAGATGCTCAGTTCTCAACTTTTCTGCAATCTTTATTATCATCATGAAGCAGGTACTTTGCAGAAAGTTGCTCTCATTTCAGTCTGCCTGAAAGAAACTTGGTCTCACACCAGCTCTCTCACTTGTGAACTTTCATATCCAAGCAGTCACTCATATCCTGTGTGAATCCATGTTGGTGGGACCCTATGTGCCTTCCTGGTAGCATGCCTTCTGCTGTTATATTTTTCAATCTACTGTGGTGTTTGATATGGCCAAAATATTTCAGTTTCTGAGACAAGATACTGTTTATTAGCCAATCTTCGTTGATGTTCAGATCCTTAAGTATGTATTTCTTTTCTTCCTTGACCATGGCATTCTGAGAATCTGTCTATAGTATTTCAGAAAAGCTCCAACTTTCTTCCTTAAAGACTGGAAAGCAGTCCACAATTCACATCCATATGCTGCTAGTCTAGAAGGAAGATGCATGCCTGCAAAATTTTAACTTTGATTTTTGTGCTAGTGCTTAACCATATACTTTTAATGTTGTTTAATCTTTTATTGTTATGGCCATCTTCCTTTTGACCTCTGTTAAACAGTCTCCACTGCAGTTTTATATGAAGTTCAGGTATACAGTTTGTAACATTTTCAATCTCTTCATCATTTATTGTTATTTATGGGTGACAGCCAGTTTTTTTTTTTTTTTTTTCAACAATTTTTCCTTCCTGATTCTCTCCCTCCACACAACATGGCCCATAGCAATTTATAAATGTCTATTTGTGATATTCAAAACTTCTTAAAGTTTGTCAAGGAAATTAGTGCTACAAATATTTATGTTTTTATACACTAAAGAGCAAGAGAGACTAAATTAAATGTACTATCTTTCATTAATCATGGGTAAAGAAAAGAACAAATGCATCCATACTTCAAGAACTGAATACTCAAGAAGGTTGGCTATTAAAGATGATAAAACACAGACAATTGAAATATTTTGTTCATTTAAAACATCACAAAAGTTTACAGAGAACAATTATGGAGGAGTATATGCCTGGGTATCTGACCATGGCAATGTTAAGGGACTATGGACTACGAGACAGAACAGTGAAATACAAGATTGCAACACTTAACACCGCTGGCCTGGGAAATAAAACAGAAGAGATTATTGAAATGATGGAAAAAAGGAAAATCAAGTTAATGGGGCTAGCTGACATAAGACGCAAGGGAAATATTAATAAGAAAATACAAAGAGGCTACTTACTAACATATGCAGGAGGAGAAACATCGAAGAATGGAGTGGGTTTCCTGGTACATCCGGACATATCTAACTACATATTAGACATACATTATCACTCAGATAGAATTATTACTTTGAAAATTAAAAGAGGAGAACAAGCTGAAACATATATACAGGTATATGCACCATGCAATGATAATTATACAGAAGAGCAGAAAGATGAATTCTTTGATGATCTGTCTGATGAGATAAAGAAAGTTGAGGGAAGCAGCATACTATATGTAATGGGTGACTTCAACGGGAGGGTAGGAAATAACAGAAGAGAAAACGAACAGTTTTTAGGTCCATATGCAGCTAAGAACAGTGCTAGAAATGAAAATGGTCAAAGAATATTGGATCTATGCAGCCAGCACAATCTTTTTATTACAAACACATTCTTTGACCATAGAGATTCACAACTTTACACTTGGTACAAATGGAATGATGTCTCCATCAAGAGCCAGATTGACTTCATACTTACCAGAGTTAAAGGAAGAAGGAGAATTCTTGATTCAAGAGCAATCCCTAATGGTCTATGTGACACTGACCATAAAATAGTTGTGTTAACAGCAAAACATCTTACATTAAAGAAACACAGAAAGAAATTAAACAAAAACAAGGATCTCATCAAGATAGCAAATCTGAAACAGGAAGGAGTAAAAGAACAGTTACAACAGAAAGTAGAGACAGCATTCAAACAACTCCCACATGTAGTTGGCAATATTGAGGAAGAATGGAGTATATATAAAAACACTATGCTTAGTATTGCAGAAGAATTATGTGGAAAACGGAAGAGTTGAAACAGACGGGGAAATAACAAATATTCACCTTGGTGGTGCGAAGAAGTAAAAGAAGCAATTAAAAAGAAAAAAGACTTATATAAACAGTGGATAAAATCAAAGAAAGAAGAAGATTATATAAACTATAGACTGCAAAGGAGAGAAACCAACAGGAGTGTCAAGAAAGCAAAACAAGCATGCTGGGAACGTTTCGGTGAGTCACTAGCAGAAAATGAGAAAACAGCCAGCAGAAAATTTTTCAAAGTAGTTAAAAATATGCGGAAAAGAGATGAGAGCTACAACCCCACTGAAATAATTAATGATAAGACAGGAAGGCCATTGATAGATCCACCCGAGATAGCAGAAAGATGGAGGGAATACTTCAATGAGCTCTTTAATTCTCTAGGAGATCATCAGGAAAGAACAACTGAAGAGCACAGAGCAACAGTGTTAGAACCACACATACTAATGGATGAAATAGAAAAAGTCATTAAACAGTCTCCCAAATATAAAGCACCAGGAGCTGATAGATTACCAACAGAAATAATTCAAGCAGCAGGTGAAAGCAGCATCAGATGGCTTCACGGAATATTCAATGCAGCATCGGTACAACAAACGGCCCCTATTGATTGGCAACATGCAATAGTTATACCATTGTGGAAGAACAAAGGAAGCAAACGAGAATGATGTCAATATCGAGGCATCTCTCTTTTAAGCGATGTTGGCAAAATATGTGCCAAGATAATAGAAACAAGACTGAGACCAGTGATAGAACCACAGCTGGCAGAAGAACAAATGGGATTTAGGAGAAATAGAAGCTGCACAGATGCAATCTTCACACTTAAACAGTTAATAGAAAAGAACATTGAATATAATAAGAACTTATTTGTGGCATTCGTAGACCAGGAGAAGGCATTTGACAGAGTCGACAGACAATTATTATGGAAAATAATGGCAAGATATGGAGTAAGCGAACACCTCATCGAAGTGTGCAAAAGTTTATACAGGGATTGTAGAAGTGTAGTTAGAATAAATCAGGGAACATCTCATCCTTTCACAGTGACATCTGGAGTAAGACAGGGGTGTGTCTTATCACCACTGCTGTTTATCCCCTACATCGACAGTATATGCAAGAATGTCAAGCCCATGAATGAAGACCTTAGCAAGATCAACGAATTACTCTTTGCAGATGACCAGGCCTTGATAGCAGATACAGCCATGAAATTGCAACAACATCTAACATCCATGAATGAAGAATGTAAAACAAATAATATGAGAATCAACACTGAAAAGACAGAAGTAATGTCAATAGGAAAAAAGAAGACAGATCTAAACATAGCAATAGAATACAAAGGCATTAAACAGGCATCTGAGTTTAAATATCTGGGAACTACATTTACCGAAGATGGGAAATTGGATAAAGAAATTGACATTAGATGCAGTAAAGCAAACCAAGTATTGGGACAGCTAGCCCCCCTCTTACAGCATAAGACAATCCCAATCAGCACAAAGAGACATCTTATTCAAAGCATATTTATTCCAACTCTGTGCTACCAGTGCCAGACATGGTCACTCACAACAAACCATAAAAGAAAATTAGTAACCACGGAAATGAGATGTCTGAGAAGGGTTGTAGGAGTGACCATAAGAGATAAGATCAAGAATGAGATCATAAGAGAACAAGTCGGCACAGAACCAATTCTGGATTACATACAAAGACAGCAAGTGAAATGGTCTGCCCACTTAGAGAGAATGCCATGTGACACCATACCATACAAAGCATACATGGAAAGAGAAGAAGGACGTAGAGCATGGGGTAGACCAAGAACAAGATGGAAGGATAATATCAGAGAAACTCTACAACAGCACGATGTGCCTATGGTCGAGGCAGCCAGAAGAGCTAGAAACAGAACCTTATATCTCCCTCGACACCCACAGCGGTAAAAGAGGAAGTGAAGAAGAAGAAGAAGAATATGCCTGGGAAGAGAGGAAGAGGAAGTCAAAAAAGAAGATGGGTGCAGGACATGGCAGTTGATCTCCAGATGGGTGTATCGGATGAGGTACATCTTGCTAGTGAACGATACGTTTTTCAGAAGGTTGTTATAGGAAACAACGTCCTACAAAGGACAAGCTGCTGAGTGACTGACTGACCTTTCTTTAGCATAATAAAAAAATCTTCAGCACTCTTCAGACTCTTGGTAGCTCCTTTGTCAATGACGCTCAGGGTGTCCTCTGCATCTTTGTCAATGACGCTCAGGGTGTCCTCTGCATCTTTGTCAATGACGCTCAGGGTGTGCTTAGCCCCTTTGTCAATGATGCTCAAGGTCTGATCAGCCCCTTTGTCAATGACGCTTAGGGTGTGCTTAGCCCCTTTGTCAATGACTCTCAGGGTCTGCTCAGCCCCTTTGTTAATGACATTCACAGTGTGCTTAGCCCCTTTGTCAATGACGCTCAGGGTCTGCTCAGCCCCTTTGTCAATGACATTCACAGTGTGCTTAGCCCCTTTGTCAATGACATTCACAGTCTGCTCAGCCCCTTTGTCAATGACTCTCAGGGTCTGCTTGCCTTCTTTATCAATAGTCTTCACGGTGTCCCCAGCCCCTTCTTCAGCAATCTCCATTGCATAGATGCCTTCATTTCTGTCAACAAGATATCAGTGGAGAAGATAATTACATTTAGATTCAAAGTGTTTGATTAACAAATTGACATTTTATGTGTAACTTTTGGTATCTATATGCTTTCTAAAATGAAAAAAACATTAATAGCTATTAAAAATACCTTTTTTTTTTAATCCTGAGAAACGCAATTCAATGATAAATAAAAGTAAAGTAACACAATTCAGTGATAAGTAAAAGTAAATTACCACAATTCTGTGATAAGTAAAAGTAAAGTAGCACAATTCAGTGATAAATAAAAGTAAATTACCACAATTCTGTGATAAGTAAAAGTAAAGTAGCACAATTCAATGTTAAGTAAAAGTAAAGTAACCCCATTCTGCGATAAGTAAAAGTAAAGTAACACAATTCAGTGATAAATAAAAGTAAAGTAACACAATTCAGTGATAAGTAAAAGTAAAGTAACACAATTCAGTGATAAGTAAAAGTAAAGTAAGGCAATTCAGTGATAAATAAAAGTAAAGTAACGCAATGCAGTGATAAATAAAAGTTAAGTAAAACAATTCTGTGATAAGTAAAAGTAAAGTAACACAATTCTGTGATAAGTAAAAGTAAAGTAACACAATTCAGTGATAAGTAAAAGTAAAGTAAGGCAATTCAGTGATAAATAAAAGTTAAGTAAAACAAATCTGTAATAAGTAAAAGCAAAGTAACACAATTCAGTGATAAGTGAAAGTAAAGCAACCTAATTTGGCGAAAAGTAAAAGTAAAGTAAGTTAATTCAGTGATAAGTAAAAATATAGTAACACAATTAAAGTATAAGTAAAATTAAAGTAACCCCTTTTCCGTGATAAATAAAAGTAAAGGACAATGCTAGATTCCTATTATTACTGACCAGTCAGGATTCAATGGATTATGTGGTCAACATAATGCCAGTCACCTTTACTTTCAAGAACATTTCCTGGCACCCAGGACTTCCGGTTAATGTGGAGGATAGGTAGGTTTTTAGTATATTTAGTCATAGCAAGCCTTTGCTTCTGACAATTGTGGACTGCTGCATTTTCTTCCATGTGTAGACTGAAAGGGATTTAGTTTCGTCACCTAGATACTGAGTTGACTGCATGGCCCTACACTGTGAGCTGCAGATTTCATTTGGAATGCATACTTAATGTTTAAAATGCAGTTTCTGTTGTGAACTGTAGATTCAGAAAATGGTAGGTAGCCTATTACCACAGAACTACTGGTGCCTTATGTGATTAATTGAGTGTGCGACTATTGATCTTTTGTAAGTGTTGCTTCCATTAATGATGAACTTCATTTCTAGTGTAAGACTGTTCGGGTGAGCACTTCTGACGCCTGCCTTATGCACTTAAGCAACTGTCTGCTACTGGTCTTGCTGAGACTGCAGTTCAGCATGTGTATTTACAAGGGACAGTGATGGATATTCTGTGTGGTTTTAGTTGGAACAGGAACAGAGCAACCATGAGGTGACCCGTTTGCTATAAAGCTGGAACTGTGATAACCGTATTACCATTTGAGGGTGGATCAACCTGCGAGCCCAGAATTTTCACATAAAATCTGCCTTATGAAGGTTCTAACCCAAGACCTTTGGGCTGGGCAACAAGTTTCGGTTGTTCGTCCATCACAGTTGATGATGACCAGTCCTTTCATCCAATAGTAACTGGATTAGGTTCTCCGAGTGTGCAGATGGCTGATAAGGCCAATTCTAGCACTGAAAGTTCTTGAGCGTTTGTACAGGGAAGTAAAGCCGCATCTCTCTGGTGATTTGCTTCACTGTCTTTCCTGGCTTGTCTTTTCTAAATTGCTGCTGCAGTTCTAGCAGCATCATGGGCCACAGCTCTTGGATGAAGAGAGGAGCGCCAGGCTGAGCGGTACATGCAGTGACTTCCCAGGTTTTAGGATCAATACAGAAGTCTTTCAGTGAGGTTGTCCTTGAAACATTACTTTTATCCACCTGACAGCGTTTTCCTTTTAGTAGCTCAACAGAGAAAATTCTATTTAGCAGTCCATGGTCAGGCATGTGAACTATATGACCTGCCCAGTGAAGTTGTAATTGTTTTAGAATCTATGAAATACTCGGCAGTCCAGCTCTGTCAAGGAGTTCAGTGTCAGGGATCCTGTCATACCATTTTGTGTCAGCAACTTTTTGAAGCATTCTGTGTGAAAATGGTTCAGTATGATAGCTTTGTACACTTTCAGCTTTATGTGCAGGCTGATAGCAGCTCTATTCTAGACTCCTGTATGAAGTCTGATAAATGCGCTGCTGGTTTTATTACCATTTGAGGGTGGATTAAGCAAGAAGCCCATAATAAAATCTGCCTTATGAAGGTTCTAGCCCAAGATGTTTGGAATGGGCATCTCGGCACTGCAAAACAGCCGGTCCAACTCTACTTAGTGATTTTCTGCTTCTTCTTCATTTTATCTAATACCACTTTGAGTGTTGACACAGTTATAAGGTTCTGCTTCTTGTTATTCTGGCTGCCTTGAACATTTTTTAGAACTGCCAACATTGTCTCTTATCAACTCACTCCTGATTTTATCTCTTCTGGTCATTCCTGCAGCTCTTCTCCGACATCTCATTTCATGGTTACTAATTTTCTTTTCTGGTTTGTTTTGACTGACAGTGTCTGGCACTGGTAGCATATGATGGGAATAAATATGCTTTGCATGAGGTATTACTCTGTACTGATTAGGATTGACTTATGCTGTACGAGTGGAGCTAGCTTTCCCAATAAACTTTGTGATACAGAATTAATTCATTGTGAGAATCTCTAATATAGATCTTTGTTCTATTTCTTCTGTGTTCATGATTAAATGTTAGCTGGCATGTTGTTTTGTACTTTACACATCTGATTTCAGCAAATCCTAATTTTCCTAAATTCACATGCTCGTTAAAGAATTTGTTAAGTCTACCCCCCCCCCCCCCCCATTCCCCTTCCCCCTTTTTTCTTTCTTTTTTCTGCATAAAAAAAAGACAAAAAAAAAGACAATATTTACTCAAAGCCAACACAGACTGTAACCACAAAAACACAAAGCCTAGAATCTAAAACAGGATAACTGTGGCTAATTGCAAGAGCCATTATTCAAGCTGGTTGTAAGAAGGGTGTGAATTGAATGTTTTTCATGACTTCATGTGCTCAGGATTTTTAAAATTCCTTTATTTTTCTTTTCCAGGGCTGCAGTTTGCAGCACAAGCATCTCATGGATGTGAATCAACTAGGTAACAATTTCAGAAACCCTGTTCAACCATACAGCACTGCTATTTACTGGGGCCCTACAAAACAATTACGAAGCAACCTGTAGTCAAATGTGCACAGGTCTTGCCAGGAAAAGGAAGAGATAAAAAAACAACTTATATCAACTGGGCTATTGCAACAACATGGGGAGCTGCAGAAGTATAGCAGCTAGACACCTGCATGCTAGTCTGAAGGTCTCAGGTTCAAATCCACATAGAATTGGATTTTTTTTTTTCAAAACTGACTTTGGCTCCCAGGTCAACCCCACCTAAAATGGGTACCAGGTTAAATCCTAGGAAGTAAAGGTGGCCAGCAAGCTGATGACCACATCATTCATTGATTGCCAACTCCTCTACAGAAATATAGGTTTATTACGAAATACCTGATGCACCAAAGCATGAAAAGGGTCCTTTACTGCAACAAAAGGTAAGAGCAGAGGGCAATGCAAAAAGAATACCTTCTTCTTCTTCTTCGCACTCACTGGCTGTAAACTCTGGCAGACAGTTCCAGGTGTTTGTCTACCTCTGGACTTTAGTCTTGTTCAAGAACCAAAGTGTTGCGTGCAGGTCCGTTTCAAAGATCTGGCTTATTGAAATGCAGACTCGTGGTTCCTTGCCTCTCAGGCAGATGTACTCCGACTTCAAAGGATACCCCCAATTAGTCAATTCTTATGAAATGCTTGATGGGGAAGCAGTGGGTCTCTTCTTGCTTACTCCATAATTGAGCCCTTGAAGCCACATAGGGCCCTTGAACCCACATAGGGCCCTTGAAGCCACATAGGGCCCTTGAACCCATATAGGGAAAAATACAATATCATTTGTGTGGTCTATCAAACACTCGTAAATGCAAACATGTTGTTTGTAAAAGAAAGAAAGAAATAATATGAAATAAAAGCTGGTTTAATCTACCTGGCATTCTGCACCATGTTTCCAATGCTCAAACATGACACCAAACTTAAGGCAGCAGCAAAAATAAGGCTCACATTCAGCAACATTGTAACTATATATCCGCGACAGTCAACAGTGCTGTGCAACCTGCAAAAGAATGAATGTATAAACCTACAGTGTTTCCCTAATCACATACTTTTTACATAATATTCATGCTCTTGTACCTTGCGGCATCGGAAAGTACCCATTTGTGCGCCTCATAAATGGGGATTCCAAGGGACTCTTGTTTCCTCTCTCCACTGTTTGCATGGTCGTCAACTTCTTTACTTGCCAGTTGGTCTATAAATCATTGCTTGCTGTGTATACCGTTTGTTGGTAGCCTTGTTACATAGACAAACAATTTCAACTGTTTTTCAATAAATACTTGAATACCTACAGAATAATATTAAAAAACCTTGTAAATTACATAATCATATGTCAGTGCCTCCCCACATCGGTTCTGGGGCCTCACTGCAGGGATACAAGAATAGACCCAATGCCCCCTCATAAACTGACGTGAAAGGCAGTTAATTTGGGATATCTGAACTTCCTTCAAATTCGGAGTGCATCTAACATCTATCTGAGAAGCAAGAAATCAGCAGTGTGAATATTTAAAAGCCAGATATGTAAAACAGATGACTGGTCGATCCATCCATCCATATCCTTGTCAATACTTTAGTTATATATTTAATTTACTAAAACTAAATTAAACTGATTAATAGAAACGGAAACATTATGAATTAATTAGTATGATGAATGGAATGATGTAAGTAAAATATGTGACTATAGTATAATTACTTACTACTATGACTATGACTGTTTAAGTTAACATATGTACACACAAATTGCTTAGGGAAGTACAGACAAAAGAAATCACAGTGATTTGTATCTAACCCTTATAGTCTTTACACTCACTTTATATTACAATAAACCTCACAGAGTTAAACAGCGCAGATCAGTTATCAATGTTATCAACATAACGGATGTAAATAATAAACAACAACAAATTGCAGACTTTGAGAACACCGATATCTCTACTGCTACCAACTGTGTCTCAACTAATGTTTGCTCCTACCTTTTGTTCCCAGTATCGCATTTTTATTATGTACAAACTATCGAACTATTGCCCTGATCAGTCATGCAAGTAAAATTCTACTAAAAATTATAATGAGAAGACTGCAAAAGAAAATGGAAGAAGAGATTAATGTAGCTCAGGCTGGATTTAGACAGGGAAGAGGAACAAGAGATCATATATTCAACATGCGTTTAATAATAGAGAAGTGTAGAGAATTTAATGTAAATCTGTTCTTATGTTTTGTGGATTATTCAAAAGCATTTGACTGTGTACAACATCAGAAGCTTTGGGAAATCATGAGGAATATGGGCTTTCCATCACATATGGTGCAGCTCATTAAAATGCTCTATCAAGACCAACAAGCAGCAGTCAGAATAGATGGAGAGACATCAGACTGGTTTGGCATCAAGCAAGGAGTCCGTCAGGGATGTGTGCTGTCACCGTATTTGTTCAACCTGTACGCCGAAAATATAATGAGAAATGTAAGAGATGATATAAACAAGGAACAATATGATGCCCTAAACATCGGTGGTCATGAAATACCAGAAATTCGTTATGCTGATGATACAGTATTACTATCAACATCACAAAATGGTTTAGAAAACTTATTAACCTCACTCCAAAGAAATAGTGAAAATCATAACTTATTTCTTAACACAGCAAAAACAAAGATAATGCATACAAACAAAACTGCCATGGAGAAGGAAATATATGTTAATGAGGAAAGATTGGAAGTGGTGGAAACTTTCGAATATCTTGGGTCACTGGTTACCAACAATGGTGACACAATGAAAGAAATTAAACGGCGACTATCAATTGCTCTTCAAAGACTAAAACAACTGAATAAATTATGGAATTGTACAGATAGAATTACAAAGGTCAGATTTTTAAGAGCATGCATCTTTCCCATTGCAACATACGCCTGTGAGACCTGGACACTTACTAAACAAGCGGAACAGCGCATAAATGCATTTGAATATAAATGTTACAGACAGGTTCTAAGAATATCTTGGGTAAAGAAAAGAACAAAGGCATCCATACTTCAAGAGCTGAATATTGAAGAGGGTTGGCTAGTAAAGACAATAAAACAAAGAAAATTGAAATATTTTGGTCACTTGAAACGTCATGGAGGTCTAGAGAGAACAATAATGGAGGGGTATATGCCTGGGAAGAGAGGAAGAGGAAGGCCAAGGAGAAGATGGGTGCAGGATGTGGCAGATGATCTCCAGATGGGTGTATCAGACGCAGGACATCTTGCTCATGATAGGAAGGTTTTCCGGAGGGTTGTTATGGCAGCGAGGTTCCGCGAGGGACATGCTACTGAATGAATGAATCGCATTTTTACTCCTAATATAAAGTAATTAACTATGTATCGTCTTTAAAATGAAGATCGGGTGCGATGGATCTCCAACACGCTCTCTTTCCCTCTATGTGTATACTCTCTACACTTCTGTTCGTCCATCTCTTGATGTTATATTTTCACTTGTGGAATCTCTGTATGTCTCTTGATCGCATACCTTTAACATGTCCATCTAATGCAATGTCTCCAACTGGAGGTATGTAAGTTGTAAAACAATGTGGTAGTTTTGGTTGGGTGGGGGGAGAGAGGGGAGTGGTGTGGGGGGGGGGGGATAAAAAGAATAATAAAAAAAAAAGTAGACAAAAAAAGTAAAAAAAACAGGGGGGGGGGCAAACAATGTGGGGGTTGGGGGTTAGGGAAGAGGGGGAAGGGGGGGGGACGGTGTGGGGGGGGGGGGGGGGGGGGGGAGGGGTGGGGGGGGGGACGTCAAACAAGTTTAAACTTGAGTCCATTGGTATTTGTAATCCGGATTTTCGGCTTTGACAGTCACGAAAAATAAAAAGCAATGGCAAAAAAAACTATAATTGTATACTTTAGAATTACTGATGAATTATAGGTGGGCAAAAGATCGCAATAGGCCTTCACTACTATACAAAGATGTGTGCAAGCGATACATGAATGGTACTGGTATTTAGTTAGATTCGTGGTAGTAGAATCTCATAGACCGTAATGCGCTAAGAAGGAAATCCAGGAAGGGAACATGGATAACGGAGAAAATGACTCCAAATAAGATCTGCGCTGAGCATCTGAAAAAAAGTAGGTTAAATGCATACAAGACAACACTCCTGAATCTCATACTCTAATTGTGAAAGCGTTTCCTAACACGGGCGCTTCTTGCTATTCGCACAAGCCATCGTTATTGACGATGACACCCTGCCTAGCTGTAGGGCATTATAACACCTTTTGGAGAAACAGAAAGTGAATTATATTGTACATTTATGACTTGTTTCAGCCACAGCTAACTATGCTATGTCAGCTATTTCTTTCTTTCTTTCTTTCTTTCTTTCTTTCTTTCTTTCTTTCTTTCTTTCTTTCTTTCTTTCTTTCTTTCTTTCTTTCTTTCTTTCTTTTCTTTCTTTCTTTCTTCTTCTTTCTTTCTTTCTTTCTTTCTTTCTTTCTTTCTTTCTTTTTCTTTCTTTCTTTTCTTTTCTTTTTCTTTCTTTCTTTCTTTCTTTCTTTCTTTCTTTCTTTCTTTTCTTTTCTTTTCATTTCTTTTCTTTTCTTTCTTTCTTTCTTTCTTTCTTTCTTTCTTTCTTTCTTTCTTTCTTTCTTTCTTTCTTTCCTTCTTTTTTCTTTTTCGTCTTCGTCTTTGCATTCACTGACTGAAAACTCCGACGGAAAGTTCTGATTGTGTTCCCACTTCTGAACTCTAGTCCTGTTCCATTGCCCATTCTTTTTACAGATCTGACCATATTTGTATGCAGACTGTTGGTTCCTTTCCTCTTAGGCAGATACACTCCAATTGCGAAAAAAGCTCCCAATTAGTTGACTCTTACCACATGATTTTTGGGCAGGCAGTGGGTCTTTTTTTTCCCCCACAATGGAACGTCAGATATACTCTCCTTCTCTTGATGTTTTAACTACGAATGTGGATTGTCTCCATCCAGTATGGTAATCAGTTCTCTTCTCACAATGACTTCTTCAAGTGTTCACCTGGTGTACCCTGCTGTCACAAGCGGGTAGGAAATGAATGGATTGAGAAAACGAAGAAGTTAAAGAGAAACCCAGAAACCAAAGTTGATGAGAAAAGTCAAAGGTGCTGGACTAAATTCCATACATAATATCGAAAGGATTGCACGAGATAGAATGGAATAGAAAAAGAAACTACGGACTCCGTACGACATATCATGGCATAGAAGGATGAAAATGATGGTGAATAGGGAACGAAACAAATTACATTTATATAGATTACTGAAGTGGTCTAATAGTTGGTACATGCCTGTAAATGGAACCAAAACTACACACACTTTTTTCAGTCTTTCAACCCAAACCCAAAAAGCTTCACTTATGTATGGCCTTCAGGAACTGAAACGTCATGATTGACCATTGTATTTAGGAGTAACCTTTGACCCAAGACTCACATGGAGAAAATAGAAACGAATCAGAGTAAGGGACTCAGCTGACGAGTACATAAGCTCGAACAAACTGGACGGGGTGGGGAAGGGGGGGGGGTGGGAGCAAACCTCAGTGTCCTCAAGAAGATCTAAACAGGCTATGTGAGGCCAACACTAGAATATTGGATAGCTACTTGGGGCGCTGCAGCTAAATCAAATTTTCAGAAAGTCTTAAAGACACAATATCAGACTCTCCGTATTATAACAGTGATCAAGCGTTCCACGCCCATATCAGACATGGAAATAATTAATTATTGGTCTCCATGCTCTGAAAGACACTAGAGTCACAAAACTTCTCACACAGCTCTCCAAATACCACCACTTAAAAGAACAACCCATGCGCAGCCCACTGAAGAAAATAAAGGGTTTGCTGAAATCAGATGTGTAAATCACAAAACAACATGCCCGTTAACATTTAAGTGTGAACACTGAAGCAAACCTGATTAGTACAGATAAATACTTCATATAACCCACGCACAGCCCACTGCAGAAGCTCCAGAGAACTAGACTAAAGAGAAC